TCCTCCATCAGGGCTCAGTCTTACTGCCTGGGAACAATTCTCTGTGAATCTGGCTCCACCCTCTGGGCTCTCAGTCCCAACCTCTGAATTATCTTTCCTTTTTTCGGAAGATGTAGCTCGGGATTGCGGTTGGGACGTTTTTTCTTTTTATTTTTTTTATTTATTTTTATTTTTTTAAAAGATTTTATTTATTTATTTGAGAGAGAGAATGAGAGACAGAGAGCACGAGAGGGAAGAGGGTCAGAGGGAGAAGCAGACTCCCTGCCGAGCAGGGAGCCCGATGTGGGACTCGATCCTGGGACCCCAGGATCATGACCTGAGCCAAAGGCCCAGGCGCCCTGGGACATTTTTTCTGACTGCTTCTTGCTTGCAGAAATTTGGGGTTCCAAGATTCCCTTTTTATTTTGTATAGTCTCTGCCTCCCTTAACTCAAACTGCTATGATTTCTTTTGAAACACTGCTTCTTATTTACTCATAATTGATTAATATACCCATGAAAGCCACACCCACAAAACTCATTGAGATAAGCCCTTCTCTACCTCAGGCTTCCAGTGATATTTGCAGGGACAGTATCCTTCAGATTCTTAGAGATCCTGCTGTTTGCAAGAGAAGATCTATGAGGCATGCCTCTGAGATCCTCAGCAGGCTTTTTGTGTGTTTGAAAGGCTCTATGAGGCAACACCATAAATCTTCCTGAGGTTTTAAGAGAGCATGTCTAGTCATGCCTTTGGGTCTCATCTTTAAACCATGTTTTCCTGACAGCAACGTGGATTTGATCTCTGTCCAGAGCTCTTTATGTTAGCCCTGTCTACCATCCAGAGAGGCTGGAAACGAGACGCCCAGCAAACCCAGCAAGTCCTGGCTCTTTTATATTCAACACTTGTTTCTTTCTCTTACATCCTACTACGAACAACTAGAAGAATCCAGCAACCTTCAACACTGCCTTCACATCTCCTTAGCTTGACCATCCAGTTCATTAGATACACATTCTCTTTTCCACTTTCCTGCAGGTTTCCAGGTTCTCTGCTGCTGTGTAACAAAGATCCCCTTTCCTCCAGAATCCCCGATGTGGTGTGATGTGGTCTGCAGCTGGCCATAGCAATGTGATCTTGATTATAAAACGTACAACTTTGGGGAACATCATTTTTGCATATGGCAGTGATATTAAAAGTGGCTGTAGTTGGGGCGCCTGGATGGCTCAGTCCTTAAGCGTCTGCCTTTGGCTCGTCATGATCCCAGGGTCCTGGGATCGAGCCCCGCATCGGGCTCCCTGCTCAGTGCGAAGCCTGCTTCTCCCTCTCCCACTCCCTCTGCTTGTGTTCCCTCTCTCACTGTGTCTCTCTGTCAAATAAATAAAATCTTTAAAAATAAATAAATAAATAAATAAATAAATAAATAAATAAATAAATACAAGTGGCTGTAGTGATGGCTAATTTATATTTTCTTAAAATTTGTGTCTGGTGCTGTGACATCCAGAAAAATAGGACACAGTTTCAGGGTGAAAATGGGATATGAAAGAATCTTTGGAGGTGCAAAGGGAATGAATACCACTTCCTGAAGAAGATACTCCAGGCCCAAGTTTCTAAAGTTTTTTTGGTTTTGGTTTTGTTTTTTAAGTAGGCTCCATGCCCAGCGTGGGGCATGAACTCATGACCCCGAGATCACGGCAGAGCCAGCCAGGCACCCGGGGCCCAAGCTTCCAAAGACAAAAAACCAGGGGCACCTGAGTGGCTCAGTCGATTAAAAGCATCTTCTTTTGGCTCAGGTCATGATCTCAGGGTCCTGGGATGGAGACCCTGGTCGGACTGTCTGCTAAGTGGGAGTCTGCTTCTCCCTCTCTCCCTGCCCCTCCCCACACTCATGCTTGCTTTCTCTCTCTCTCTGTCTCTCTCTCTCTCAAATAAAGAGAGAGAGCGAGCACAGGCAGGGGGAGCAGCAGAGGGAGAGGGAGAAGCAGAATCCCTGCTGAGCAAGGAGCCTGATGCAGGGCTCGATCCCAGCTGGGATCATGACCTGAGCCAAAAGCAGACACTTAACCGACTGAGCCACCCGAGCGCCCCATAAATAGTTTTTTTTTTTTAAATAAAGTAGGGGCGCCTGGGTGGCTCAGTCATTAAGCATCTGCCTTTGGCTCAGGTCATGATCCCAGGGTCCTGGGATCGAGCCCCGCATCGGG